CGGTCGTCGATTTATCCGTTCGATATACACGATAAACGATCGTGAAATCTTCGCGCCAAGTCGCTCCGATCTAATCTTCCGATCGTTAATTTTTAACCCTTGAACGCGAGCGTATTTTATTACTCGCGACATCGAGGGGCATTTTATTTCGTTTCGCGAGTAAATTTTCATCACCAAGGAATCTTCGCATAATTGTACTCTTTTGTGTTATTACGTAATAACTCGTTACGGATAGGATAATAAAATTGTTCATATCAGGTGGATCAGAGTGGATTCCTGCATATCACTTAAAAAGGGAATGCAGTTAGAAAAGAAAGTCGCGTCTTGCAAATTTTTGGTCTGAGAATCGTCAATAAAGGTGGAGATAACGCGGAGGGACAAGCCCTTCCTTAAAATAATGTATGGTTGCGTCCCCGTCTTCTCTGGACGTAAGCCTCTAATTTCCACTGTGATCACTCGGCATATCGAGCCTCTCGCGCTCATTAAGAATTCACGAGGAGGTACGGATTATAAGGACCCTCCTGTACGTGAACACCTGGTATATCAATTCGCGAAATGGAACTCAAATCGCTCGGCGAAGGAACGCGCAGCATCGAAGGAAAGATTGAAGAAAATCTCTAGTAATCACGACGAAGATGAAGGGCAAGTGAACGGGAAAAAGGGAATGGAATTGACGAGCGAGCGGTACTCCATTTTGTTCGTAATTGAGAAGATCTTGCTTATAATTGAAGTATACCTTTTATTGGATAGTTTTATAACGAAACTGCTGATTTTTCCTGCATTATTATAGGAAAAAAACTATACGATTTGGGTCAATTAAAATACTCGGAATAATGCATCATAGACTTATTTAATATTAAAAATAAAAATTTTGTTAATTTAGCCTTTAAAATAAATATATACGTAGATGGCGAAATCACGCTTAAACTTAAATAAACTTTTGTTTCAACGAAAAAGATTCTAATATTAGGCGAGTTGATAATAATTAAAATATCTATAATAATAACCGGAATAAAAGATTGTAAAAAAAATAATTCCCGGATGAGAAAGTCGAGCACGGTATCCTCCTAAGCACGCTCCTAAGAATCATAATCAACATCTAAATCAAAGGAGAAACTATCGTTTGCGGAACTGTGTAATTTAATTTTATCTCGTATCTCAGCTAAAACCTTTCTAAGAAAATTGTATAGCGATACCTGCTTTATTAATTATTGATGCTGTGCAATCGATCATTATGGAGAACTGGATCACCACTACTCGGGATTATGCAAATAGCAGCGCTTTCCCGACGCGAAAAAAGGAAGCGAGTATCTCGAAGTATACTTCTCACGAGCGTCGTAAAAGGGTAGACGATGCGTGACGCCCGCTCGTTAATTATAATGCGACGTGCGCGCGGTTTTTAGATAAGATTGGAGAGGACCTATAAAGAGAGCAATGGGATATCGATTACCCACTGTCCATCGATAAACTCGATGTATCGAGGGGGGAGGCTGCTGTGCACGCGAGCACCTGGTATCGTCGCGAGATGCGTATAAGATTAAGGATCGACTGACCGGTGGTTTCAAAGAAAAGGGGGGGAAGAACGAGTAAGGTTGCAGAGCGGAGCAGGGGAATGAAGGTCACGTAAGAGGGGCAGTTGATCGTCCTTTATGCAGATGAAGAGGAGCGATAAGATGGAGCGCGAACGCATACACGCGAGAAAGAATGAGAGAAACGCCTCCCTACCGGAACCAAAAAGTCTTTCGAGTAATTGCAACGCGTCGTTGGCCGGCCGGGCGGTTACGCGCGAGGAATGCAACCCTGAGGAACGGAGCCGCGCGTCGCCCGGAGGATACGTCCCTTGAACATGCGAAGACATTGAATACGATCGAGATTACGCGCACCGATTTTCTCGCCCTTCTTCCTTCAGTTCCTCCCCGCCTAGCCTACTGTCATATTAATGGCGCCCATTAGAGGCGGAAATTACGCTTCAAGATAAATTAATGTTACGTATGCGAGCGTTATTATGCTGGGCGGTATATGTATTGGCCGGGCAGAATTTCCCTGGAATCTGGAAGAAATTTTATTGAGGTTTCCTTAGCAAAAGCGTAACTCGATTTAATTCGCGATAACTTTTAACTTCAACGTTGCTTCTTTTTGTAAATCTCTGAATTTCTAGAAGAGATCCTTTTGCTGAAATATAATTCACCGGTCAAGAAGTAGATCTGTTCAGCTCCAATTTTTTGAGGGATAATTTCTTTTTTGTAAAAGATCTAATTTTAGCGAACTCTCCGTCGAGAATATCACGGAGAACCGCAAAAGGATCGAGACGAGCGCTCGATTGCCGCTTGATCGCCGCAAGTGCATTAATCGCGCAGATCGCCGGGAAATAACACGTGTGTACAAAGGTATACGCGTATAGAGGCTGCCGAGGAGGGTTTGTGGGAAAAACTTGATCCCACTTCCGTCGTTCGTGGCCCTTAATGAAAGGGACATAAGCGCGGCCGCCGTTTCTTATTCGGTCTGCCTTTTGTTTCTTTTGCCGCGCGGCATACATCGCGCCCGAGGCTTTCATGCCGTCACGTTAATTATCTATCGGCCAATTAATAACATCCGGAATCTAGGCGCTTGTAGAAAGAGTTAAAGAGCGCGCTCTTTTGATTCGTTTTACTCCGACAATCAAGAAAGTTGTGCAATACGTTTCGCTTTGAATTACAATTATTCGTCTGCGTCAATCGGTTAATGATTTAATATAAAAATCTCAATAAAAAGAAAATCCTGTTGAGGCAACACACCTCCTTGAAGCTAAATAAGGAATATGGGGCTGTTTGTTATTATCTGTTTGCATCGTTAAAGCTCGCTCTACCTACGCAGCGCGTCGACTAACGTTTAATTATTTAATCAACGCGGCTCTTTCTATTTCCTACCTACTTCACGTTCTGACAAACACTGTCACTTTGATTACGCGTTTGCGACACGCTCCAATCACTTTTTGCATGCGCGCGCAGATCGCTTGCCTTATGCGTTATACGCTATGCGTTTCCTCGGGCGCGGAATATCTCTCGCCGCGCCGGCGCGATATCGTTTAGCGCGAGGGGGTTAATTATAGTCCGTTGGACAATAATAACCGGGATGGATACGTTTTATTCGTCGTGTATACGTGAATCTCTCGTCTTCCTTTTCGACCAGGTTTTTCAAACCGCCACCTATTACAATGTTGCACGGCCCATCGGGCGAACCGAAGGATGTTCGCGCCGTTCGCGGTTCAGCGAGTCGCACAAAGGACGGGACGCAACGTGCATACGCACAATGGTCCTCGTTAATAATCACCGTGGCGCGGACTGCGAGAGCTCCGATCGCGGTTTGCCCTCCATTATGCTGCGGATCGCCGGGTGAAGTAATTTACCTGGCGCTTTTTGCGCGAACATTGGTTGTAACGAGAAAGACGGTGGAAAGAGCGGCCGCCGCGCCGCACCGCACCAATTGACCGACCACAACACGGTTTGCTCGACTACCAAATGTAACACTGACTGTTTTTCAATCAGCGCCCCGTGGTGTTTCACGGTTGTGCTCTAGACAGGTCGCGAGACATCGCAAAACACACTTTCGCGAGCACCGAGATTTTTGAGGTCGTGAGAAGGCGGATTCTTCTGCAATCTCGATTATTTTATTAAACCTTCAATCCACAAAATTTTCCCATTTGGAAGCGAGAAATTTTTAAATTGCTCGAACATTAAAAGAACAAAGTAGGTGTATATGTATTTTTAATTCTCAGATTCGCTGGGAAGAAATGATAGAAATTAACACTTTTGAATATAATTTTATGTCTTCTGGCGCATTAGTTGGATTAGATGTAACTTATATATCTTTTGCACGTATAAAAAGAAAGAAGCGAGTAATATTACTCTTTGCATTCGCCCTGTCAGATGATTCCACCTGTCATCGTTGCACCTGTCTCTCGGGAGTACTTACAATTAGTGGTAACGTTAATGACCTTTCACGGGCTGCTGAATGCATGACATGCGGGTGGCAGAGCACGAATTTGTTGCAGTTACAGTTCTGCATGCCACAACTCTTTACATCGCGGCGTTGTTTTAGTTAGATATCGTTCTTTCAATATGTATATTTAAATTTCTCGTAATTAAATTTAACACGCGTGTAATTATCCGTGATTGCAATTTCAATGATTTAACATTAAATATTTTTTAGGATTTTTTTTTATTTCGAGCACTTCGGGATAATGCTTTGTGACTATATTTACTGAACATAACTGTTTATTATCCTTAAAGAAATCATCAGTATTGTGGTAATTGAAAGTGCCTCCGTAAATGCAGCGTTTGAATGCAGAATTTTCGATTATCTTTCACCTGTCGATGTTGAAACGCGCGTGACACAATCTAACGTCAATTTGCCGCTAGAATGATTTGAAGCATTATTTGTGACCAGTCGTGGACTGCATGCAGCTGTATAGTCACGGACGATTTATTTTTTTATTTACTCAAGCGTTTGTACGAGACTCGTTATGAACTTGTAGCTCCGGTTTGAAGGTCATCTACGATATAAAAATTAATTGAGGAATCCGTTATGCCGCCGGTATTAAGGCCGTTCCCACGCCCCCTCGTCATTCACGAGAATTCGTTACATTTCACTCGGTTAATTGTTCATTTATCCCACAATAATTTGCTTTAATAAATATGCAGCCTTTGTAGATAATCAATCTACAACTTAAAGCACTATATTGTGGTGTATTTTTATAATTGTTTTAATTTTAAAAACATTATATTTTTATAATTAGTCTAAGAGAATGTATATTTAAAATTATAATTTATGATATTTTAGGTGATTAAAATGATAAAATCAAGAATTTCTTTAAGATTTATTTTTGACAAGTTGAAAATAAATGAAATGTAACAAATTATAAAGTCTTTCTCGTCAAGACTGACTCGTCATTTGCCTCTTCCGCGAAAACTCGGCAGTTTACACAACCAGGCTCTAATAGAGACTCATCCTCTTCCTTTCAGACGGCACTGTGATCACGAGCGAGGTCCTTCAAGGTTACGACCCTCAGTTCATGGTGGGCTGTTACTTTCCTGCGGAATTCCAGGGCGAATTCGTGACGCAGGTGAGCGGAAAGGGCATGGCGAACGAGCCCATTCAGTATTCCACCATTAACATCACCTTCAACGCGATACCGGTGTGGGGCTACTGCCACAAGAGGGTCGGCGATAATGTGCTGCTAATGGACAGGTCAGTTAACTCAACGAAACACGGACATTTCCTGCATCGAGGAAAGTGTCGGTTCCACTTGTTAGCGTTTAATACGCGAGCGATTAAAGAAGTCGTGTCCGCAAACGGTTCTTTTGCGCTACATGCAGGAACTGTGATTAAATCGTGAGAATGGGGGTAGCAAGAGCGTATTTTTTTAAATTGAACTTTTCTTTGATGCAAAGTTTAACTTTTTTTTTTATTTAACATGGGAGAGATATGTAATTAACATATCAGACTTTAAGAGCGTAAACGTTTAGAATTTTAATTTAAGACTTAGTTACGCAAGTATCAGATGACTGAATTTTCGCAATATGCAATAAATGGTGATCTTTGATTATTTGATGTATAATTTATCTTTTACCTCCCATTACTATCTTTAGCAGCATTACTTCTTTTTTATCTGCATTTTACCGTTCAGTTTATTTGCGGCTCTCACAACTTCGATTCTGCGCCTTTTTGCACGCCCCGTATAACTGAATTATCGCTTGAGTGGCATGAGGCGATGTATTTTTTTTCATCTTTATCAACCTCACGCGTTAAAATCTCCACGCTGAAGCGTTAAAGTCTTAAAAGCCGTGAACGGTTGTTGCGAAAGTTTACAGACGCATAAAAGTTCAAAAGCGCGGCGCCGTAAATATCAAAAGTTTTGAGTTACCGGCAACGAGATAGAACGGAGCTGGCCGGAACGTTCGGAGGGCGACGGCACCGAGGTAAGTCGAGATATACTCGACTCACAATTAAGAGTAACGGTGTATTCACAGAACGATGCACTTGCAACTAGAATGCCGTCATATCTACGGCGCTTGTCGCACATGTAAATGCAGTTAACGGGGCACAGTGTGAAACAGTGTTGAAAGAAATGCGGTACTCGTCGCTACGCGCGTGTCTAATTATGTTAAATCTCTCGTATAGAATCTTCTCGCATTCTTGTTAACACCTGAAGTGCTCTGGCGCGTTGCATTACCTCATAAGAGTGTCTAATGCTAAGATTATATGTGAGATTTTCGAATTATGTAGCTATCATATCTCAAGAATGGGCATTTATAAATAATAATAAATATATATAATATATATAATATAAAACTAATCTTTTTCTTTAAATGTACGGTACTTCAAATCTTATGATATATTTAAATACGATGTATTTTTAAATTTAAAGTTTTACGAGAGTGCGAATTATTTCACAATTCGATCTATAAGTCTGATATACATATTATTAAGATACATAAATTATATATAACAACAATGGCGCGCAATAATAATACCTAATTTTTGCTAAGACCCGAAATTCGCCGAAACATTTAGAGTCGTAAGAAAAACGCGTGACTTTTACCGATTTCTATATAAGTCGCTCGAAGTCTAGACGGTAGAATGTCGACGAATTGTTCGCGCGTAGGGAGGGACGGGCTTTTCCTACCAAAGAGGCAAAAATTCGCCGACGAAGACGACAGTGGGATATTGTCGTCACGGGAAATGGAAAGGGTGTGAAGGGGTTAAGGTTAAATTAGCCTGCCGATGTGTCTCCGGGGATGCCGCGACGTCTACGACTCGTCTGGAGCGAAAATAGCCGGCTCTTGAGACGGCACCAGACACAGACACTCGTGTCGCGCGCGTATCGCGCGCGAGCCCGGGCTAATTTCAGAAAGAGGACGAGAGCCATAAAACGAAAAGGAAATGGCGAAACGTGCTTTCTCCTCGCCCCAAATCGGTGTAGCTTCGACATTGTACCCTTTTCGGCATTATACCCTTTCCAAAGGTATCTTGTAATCCTGTTGGATTATTAAATATTGAATTTGATCTAAAAACCAAAGTGCGAAGAATCTGTGAGCAGTTTTGTAAAATTATTATACGCTTTCTTATCAATTCGTAAGTGCTTTAATTAAACAAGATCTTGTACATGGTCTATATGCAAGGTGATAATCGGGAAAAGTTGCTGAAATTAAATAATTATCATTTTGCAATAAACGGACAGAATGAAATTAATTAAACGTTACTCCGCAAGAAAAACCCGTTATTTTTATTAGCACATGATCCAAAAAATTTATATTTATTGGTCTGTAAAAATGCACAATAGTATTTATCTATTTTATTCTGTCCACTTATCATTATAAAATAACAGCTGTTTCTTCAACTTTCTGATTGTTATCCTGCATTTTGGAAAGACAAATTGGAAGAAATAGTTGAAAATTGTCCCGTTATTTAAAAAATTCGATTTTGTATGATTTCAATACTGTGTCTCACATAGAAATCCAAAGCCCGAGATCCTCGTCGCGCAATCGATAGCTCTCCGATACATCTGAACGCTCACGAAGCAATGTGGGTGTTGTCCGACCAAGTATGCATAAATTGGCATACACGTGAGAGCCCACCCCTTCTTCTTCTTCTTCTTCTTCTTCTTCTCTAGAGACGATCATATACTTCGCGATTCACGTTGAATCGTTAACAAGCTATCGCGCCATATTCCGAGAAATCATATCTCCGATTGTCTCGTTACTTCTCATTGTTATTATTGCATTTACAATCTGGAAAATTTTTATTTCGATTCCGTTCACCGTCATGCAATTAAGCTCATAGATTGAATCGAACAGGAACAAAGACATGAAATAAAAACAAGCGTAATAAATCGTTTGTCTTTCAATAATTGTCATATATTTTGACACGATGTGACGCGGTGCGATAATTACCATAAATCCGATCTCCTATTTGTCGCTAATTAGTTAAGTAATTCACCAATGACGCATCGCATTATCTTTCCTGAAGGATTTATTGCAGGGACAAATTCACAAATAGAGAGTGCCATAAATTTGCTAAGGAAATGACATGTAAATGACTGTAATCAACAAACTAGTATCACTCCGAGGCGACTCGCTAATTGCTCGAAATTCGATCGCTGCTTAATTGCCCTGCATTTTTACACCTTCGTCGCGCTTAATCGATCGCGCGGCTCTTCCCGCGACTTTTACGGAGCAGTGTCGTTACGCGTATATTTAAATGATGGCGACGTTTATACGCGCGTCCTGCGAGGATAGCCGACCAGCCCGCAGCTATTAACAATAATCGCGGTGCGCGCAATAACTTGCCGGCGTGACAAGCAACGCGCGTAAAAGCTGTAGGTATGCAGAATTCGCGTAAATTGTCTCTCTAAGCTCGCGGTAGCCCGTAATGATTTCCCTGGTGGGATCGCCGTATTTCGCATCCGCCGCAACAATTTCCTCGCGAGAATCGCCAGCGAATGCGCGATGAAATATTAACGGCGAGCTGGTCCGCTTAATCGGTTTTACTATAAAGGTATACCGCAGATCCAGCTTGCATAGTTAATATTGAGAGAAAGAGAGAGAGCGAGAGAGAGAGAAAGAGAGATGCGTTATTTAAAGCACGACTTCGCACAAAAATTACTTATATCTTACTTTAAGATCACAGATCCTGTGCATCTGTAAATACGAACTGTCTCTTTATTAAAGCGAGCGAGATAACATCTGTGAGAAGCAAGAAGGTAAAATTTAAAGCCTATTATTTTCTGTATTTATTTCCAGATTTGCAAAAATTTGTCGTTTCTCCACGAGGAAGGGGAGAAGGCGACTTTTCTTCGAAAATCGTTTATTATCTTACAGCTAGATGATGTTCCGGTTAAAAGGACACTCATGGATGTTCGTTCGTGAAGCGTCCGGTATAATGTACGCTTATGCGTGTTTCACGGCATAACAGTCGCTATGCCTATAAGAAACGGCATCGGAAGAGAATATATCGTCGCCGGGGATGTAAGCTCGTGTGAGCTATAGGGTCTCTAGTGTGAGCTGAACGGGCCCTACCTTTAGCGATCGGATAGAACACAGGGCCCATTCCTCTCTCTCTTTCTCTCTTTCTCTCTTTCGTTGCATACCATCTTCCACCATTAATCTCCGTGAAGACGGAGGAGTGACTAGCCGAAGGTGGTGTGGCCTCTCCTCCAGTTTCCATGTATCCCAACCTCCGTGTTCTCCGAGCGTCGTTGACGACGCGACGAGCGAACACTCCTCTGGGGTGTCCGCGCCGAGAGGACGACGAGTCGCACACGTTCCTCGCGCCGCGCTCAGCGCTGGCACCACACGGCGACTCATTTGTCACTCTAATTGCGTGGCGCGGGGTCCCCCGGATTCCGTCGCCGTTGACAATTGAATCGGTCATTAATGAAACTGCAACAAACGGACTCGCTCGGAAAGCCATGCACCTCGCGAGAGAAACGACGCGACTGTCCGCGAGAAATGCCTTTTTAATGCCACCTCTAATGCGGCTATCACAATGGGATGTTAAATAACAGTTTCTTCGTGCGAAATTACATTTTCTTTTTTTTTTTTTGTAGTATACAGTTCGTCCGTGCGACGATTTGTTGTCGCTCGTGTGAGACCAGCCGTGTGCAGTGCATGCGCCACCGCGCCGTTATGCAAATTCGACTCGAGTGCAATACGCGATTTACATTTCGGGTCAGTGGGATATCGCGGTCGGATGACAGTTCCACGGAGAGTGAATTCCGATCGTGCGTAATTCGATATAGACGGTGCAAAATAACGTGCGGCGTTACAAACGATTGTAAAACCCAGACGCTTCCGAAGCGAGTAATAAACGATAAGGAAGACCGAGTTTATCGCGTCCTTCGCTCTTGTGTCTTAAACTTGTTTCGCGAACGGCGCGGCGCGGCCGGATTTGCATGCGGTCTGAATTGTAATTCGTTTTATGCAAATTCTGCCGCTTCGATCGCGTTACGGAACACAAAAGTTAGCGGTGGCGCGTTAATTAATAACGTTCCGCAGGCTATTTATAGCGAAATCTAAGTATAGCTTATTATCCTGATAAGTAACCAACCGATCCGGAACGTGAGATAAGACGGACACTATTATAAGAAGAAACTACATCGAAGGGGGGAGGCAAAGGTGAAAGATAAAAGATATCACGGTTGCATGAAACAGAAGTCGATGGAAAAGAAAATAAATTTCAGCGCAAACTTATACTCGACACAAATTTAAAATACACATTTCTTTTAAATAAAGTGTCTCTATCGTTTTACTATTAATTAAAGACATATAGGAAGCTGAAGAATTTGCATTTTTTAAATCTTATTATTTGCTCTATCTGCTGCATGTCGGTGAAAATAACCGGTCGGGAAATGAACGCGTTACGCATCTGATTCCCTGCTTTAACGATTCTTAAGCAATTCGCAGCAGCTGTGCCAGTGAGCGAGAAATAGAACGACACCATTAGAACGGGCGTATCGCGGCGAATACTCCGAATTCAGAGCGCGCGTGAGTTGCTCCGCGTATGGGCAAAAGCTATCGTGTGACATTCCAGTTGGCGAATAATATCTGGAGGGTTCCCGAGACCGCTGCCATGCTCTCCCGGAGCCGCTTCGCGCGAGAACGAGATCCTAATACATGTATACGGTGGAGGTCCGGTGACCACGCGACCGACGATAAACGGGCCCGCACGCCCGGCGCGTTCCCACAGGGTTGCGTAATATCGGCGTGACAGCTATTGCCTCGGAGGTACAATTATATACGCGCAGGTATGCGACGACGTTGTAAACTCACGTGCGCGGACGGGACGATCGAGAGGCACGGCAGCCGCGTCGATTCTTATCCCGGTGTCATTGCGCGCTATTCTGTGCTCACTGAGTCGGAAAATCGATCGAGATACTTATAACGTTATTATGTTAATGCGTAAGATCTTTCGCGCTCGTGTAAAGCCGCAAGAAAATAAATATATCGTATAAGGAGCGGAAGAAAATGCATTGACGGATGTAGAATTGTGGTCTCGGGATAATTTGAAATATGGAAAGCAGGTCTTCATTATGTATATAAATTAGGATCATTATATTAATTTACATATATATGTACATGTATACAAAATAAGTATGATGTGTACAAGAGCAGAGGAAAATTCATTGACAGATGCAAAATTACGTGTGTCAGGATAATTTGAAATATAGATGTTAGGACTGTTGAGTCTTTATTATATAATTAAGATGGGATCATTATATTAGTTTTTACGTGCAACACTGAACTTTGAACAACATTCCACGGCGCGTAACCCTTTAGAACGCAAATATCCGTCTTCGGATGCGCGCCTATGTGGTTACCCTAATAGCTCACAATTATTTAAATCACATCTTCACTGTGACGGCTATCGTTGCGCGAATACACGGTACACACGCTAGATACTGTTGAACAAATGACTCCTCCGCAACCACTGTCATTTTCGTAATCGTGTGTGAAAAGCGAGTAGATAGCGACCATGATAGCGCGACGCGATGATAAAATGTGTGTCCCCCCTTTCTCTGCCCCCCCCCTCCCGTACTAGTTCCCATTATAATCTTGCACAAAAGTTGCTCGTTTCCACAAAACGAATTTTCTCAGACGATCACAACGTAAACCTTTATCTCGCTCATTCTTTCTTCTTTACTTTATTTGCTCTTTTTTTTATCTATCTTTAAATACCATCTCTTCGAAAGTCAATATTTTCGGTCAACTTCGGCGATATGCACGATGTCTCAATGGTGCGGCGACAAGTTCCAGCTGCAGATAGCTCGAAAAGTTTAAAATCGACCGAGAAAGGTTTTGACATATCGTTATTTTTTATGTCTACTTTATAGTTTTCAAAACATGCTCTCCGGCAAGATCTCTCGCGTCTCTAATTTGGTCTCGAGATATCGCGTGTCGCTTCTCCGAATCGTTGGCATCGCGCGGAACAAGAAGGTCCTTGTCCTTTTCTTTTCTCTTTTCTTTTTTTGTAGTTGTCATTGTCCACTTCCTGCGCCAGGGTAAGCCGAGTGTTAAATCACGAGAGACTCGTCACGAGTGTACTAATAGTACTCTAATCGAGACGCTATCGCGTCGTTATTATACCGCTATTAGTGCTATCTTATGTCAGCGTATCTTTATTTCGTGAGAAATTCGTAAATCTCAAGGAGAGGAAGCACAAATATTAAAATGCTGATAGGAGATCAGCATTTTACGATGCCGCCTCTCATCGGCGTCGTTTGCTACGCGCGCGTCTCGCAGAGATGTCATTTCTTCGCGTCGCATCGTGTTTTTATGAAGAGACAGTAACTTTCAATTTTTACACATATAAATTAACTTATTTTTTAATGTATCAAGGACCTCGAAGCCTTGACTTAATCTGAAATTATAAATATAATCCTAATTGAAAATAATGAAGGCGGAACACTCGATTTTTTTTTTAAACTCAAAGCGCAAGTTGCAGATTCCAATCGCGTTGATTGAATAAGGAACCTGACAGAAGCGGGGCTCATTATTCATGGTTTTTTTAGACTTCATTATTTTTTATTTATGTAATTTTGTAATAACGTAATTATTAAAGCGCGATTATCATCATCTTGTTGACGATACAGTCTATATTAACGGCGTCAGGATATGTCATCGTTATGCCCCACAGTTATGTTTTTCCCCGGCCGCAATTCAGCCCTTATTGATTTTCCAATTTCCCCACGGTCCCGGGATTGGCGCGGCGTAAATTCCGCAAGTAATGTTGCGTTTCCACCTGTGATTATAAGCGCGCAAGCCGACGCGGCACGGATGTTACATTATACATAGAATATCATACTGTGGTCGTATATCCTTTATTATGATTAATCCTTAATATATATAATTCCCGGATTGTAAATTGAGAATAAAATATAAATAATGTTTTGGAAAATTGTACCTCGAACTTGAAAATAACAGAATTCCATTCGCCAGTCAATTCGTCAGCGAAATCTCAACCTAGATCTTAATCTAGACTTAGACATATCAAGGCGCGCGTTTAACGCTCATGTCTTAAAAATTGCGATAATAAAAGATGACATCAAATAAAAGGCCTTAATTCTTTTCTGTTTGCCCAGCAAAAAATGGAACGTGAGAAAACGTGCGTTATCATAGTACGTCACGTAAATTACGAAATTATAATTCTGCTAATGTAATTTATGGCATTCGTTTGCTGCAGGTACGACGACAAAGATTGTATACGGTGTTTCCGGCTGCTGCGGAGATCGCGGAACGTCATTGAGGTGTTCTCGGAAGCTATCAACAAGTGTTACATATACGAGTCGGCCGCCTTGGCCTCCTGTGGCGCCCTGAACTCCACTTCAATCCTATACCGTAAGTAGAAAAGCCGGATTTCTACCGATTATTTACTCCCGAGGCAGAGACCGCGACCTATGACGTACGTACACCGAGCTAAATATAAGCCATATTATGAATACGACCTTATGCATGAAATGCAGGGCGATCTAGTTGGATAATCTTGCCTTTTTCCCACGCTTAAGCAAGTCGGATTATTGCTAATGCGAAACTTTTTGTATTTGCCAAGCGAACTTTGATCATATTGTATGTCTCGCTTGCTTGCCGAAGAAATGAAGCGTGAAAATATAAGTTTCTAGCGCTAACATTATTTCTATCAGACAGAGAAATAGCAAAGCAGTATTAAGAATAGATAAATGTAATATGAAACTGGAATAATGAAATAAATACAGGAAGAGATTGTAACAATAGAGATATATAAATTTTTTCATATCATCTTCAGTACTTCTCCCATACCAAGAGATTCTTTACTTTATTTCTATTAAAAATATTCACAAAATTGGTCAAACGTGAATTATATCTGTTTATCTATCTTAATTTCTCGCGTGCTTTTTTCTCTGCTAAAAAAATATATACCCTCGATAGGACAACAGGGCAACGCGAGTTTGAGCGAAACAAATTACTTACTCGCATTCTTGCGCATTACTTACGCGTGAGGCGTGCGTACTCGAGGAATTCGCGGGCTTCCGGTTTATCGGACGAACGAATTACGATGTGACCTTCGCGCACGGAGGAATGAAGTTCGGCGTACTCTCCAGCAAATTAGTAGTCCTCGATAATTAGCGTTAATTGACCGCGGAGCGGTCGGGAGGAAGCAATGAGGTTTGCGTAACGACGCGGGAACAATAGGCTTCGCGTCGCGCAAAACAGAAAGAAAAAAACGCACGGCACGCATGTCGCGTGCAGAACGCACACGCCGCGTTAGTTTCTCACGCGCGTATCAATTAAAACGCTCTTAAGGATGATTGGGCCGTTTGCATAATCATTTATACGGACGGGGAAGGTCCGCGGTGGCGAGGACGCGCTAAATATTGAAGATTGCGCGAAACAGCAGAAATTCCATTCTCACTTGACGATGTAGGGACACCATTGACAAACGAGAAAGAAACGCGAAATTTATATATATATAAATTCTTATTGTCCTAAGAGCGCATAGTAGTGTTAAATGGTAAAACTTTACAATTCTTTACAGTTGCTTTGCTAATGTCTCCTGTATATTATATATATATATATATATATATATATATATATATATATATATAAATAATATACAGGAGACAGTTTTTTATATTGTATAAATATAAAAAACTCTACTATACAAATATTATATATATAAATTGACATTCGATATAAAATAATTCTTTACTCTGACATTTTTTCACATGGGTGAATCTCGTTGAAGTTAAAAATGTAAACTGTTTTAACTTTACCGAGGATTAGTAAAATAAAGTTTTGCGCACAGGAGACATTAGCAAAGCAACTGTAAAGAATTGTAAAGTTTTACCATTTAACACTAACTTGCGCTCTTAAGACAATAAGAATTTTCGCACATTAACGCATAGCAGCGTGCACATTATTCGCGTTTTGATCGTTATTATTTCCCTAATGAAGATTACTCGATTAACGTCGATTCCTCGACTTCCGGTGCATTATCACGCGCGTTCACCTGTGGCGGCTCTCAGGAATCTGCGCACCTGTCCTCGCGACGCAATCGAGACGGCCGATCGGCGCCGAGCTTGATTCCGTTCATAATCCCGGTTTCACGCTTTGATCCGTGTCGCTGCACGCGAGAAGCTTTACGGGAACCGAAAACCCGAGCCGGTGGTCCGGCGGAAGAACGTAATCGAACGTCCGTGCGTGAAGCGTTTCAGTGATTCTCTCTCGGCGCCCTGGAAAAGGATTCAGGAACGGCCTCGGTAAAAAGGCCGGACAGACAACTGGCAATCGCCGACGTGTAAAGAATTCGCATCTGCTGAATTTGCTCACGAAAACACGCTGGTATCGATATCTTTTTCAGCCTGGAGGAAGAAGTTAAAGTTAATTGAGAAAAAAGGGTTTACTCGCAATATCGACGAACACGCGGCAATAATTACCATCTTTCTGATTTTGAAACGATCTTTCTTTGAAGTTTTCCCAGTTTGATTCATTTTTATTCTTGTAATAACAGTAATTTCTCAAGTACGTAATTGTCAAAAGAATTTGCTTTGAAGAAAATACTCAAGAAGAATATATTTTTACTTTACTTTAATGATCAATTTTTGGATTATCATTATTGTATTATAATTATTGTGTAATAATTCGCGACGCTTCTTTATATTTCTGACAAATATTCTAGGACCGTTCGAAAATAATAGAGGAGCGTCTCGGAAGAGAGAACGCCGAGGAGATACGAAATGACTTCTTGCATTCCCATCCAATCTTTGTCGTGTTCCATTCCTGTTTCCCTTTTTTCTTTCCCTGTGGTCGTGGTACACGCAGCAACCAGTATCGTCAGGTATTCGTCGGAAGCGTGGGAGTGGCCTGCTTCCAAAAGGTCCTTGTCCTAATCGTTCTGTCGTGGTATGGTATAAGTGAGGGACGGTACGCACAATGTTCGCCAATAAAGGAAAAAGAAATATCTTGCGGGCTCTATTGTTTCGCCAAATTATATCGTGTTGTTTGGCCAACGCTTAACGTCGCCATGTCGTCTGAACAATAAAAATGACAAAACGTGTGCATTTTCAATTAGATACAAATAACTTCGTATATTGCGTCAACTTTTTAGTTTTACGCATCTCTTGTGAAAATATTGGGTTGGCAAATAAGTTCGTTCGGTTTTTT